AAAGTGGCGGGTTCCTCGGGTCGTTCGAAGCAACTTTTTCCTTTGCAAAAATTTTCTCCGAGACACCGTTAACGAGTTATCAACGAAAAACAGTGACCAATGAGAGGCGAGCTCGGCTGAGCGGGACCGAGCTTCGCGCGCCGGTTGACTGGGCCGCCTCGCGTCAGCCGTACTTGATCGCGCGCGGCTGACGCCCCGCCCTCGCGACCACTGCCGCTGCGTCAGACGGCCGGCGCGACGCGGCATTGGCCGCGAGGGCGGAGCGCCGGCCTTGCCTTGCCTCTGATTGGTCACCGTTTTTCGTTAATAACTCGTAAACGAAGCAGCGGATCGCATTTTCGCTGAGGAAAAAGTTACTTCAAATGACCTGAGGAATCCTCTAGTTTCGGATTGCGAGACATTTTTCGGGACACCCTGTATATTTATCCGTCATACGTCCGCGGCGGCTTTTATTGCCGCGAAGCGACGTTGTACGCGCGGCGCACTGTCAAGCCGTTCCCGGCCGTTCCGGGACAAGTTTTCGCGGTGAAGTTTTCCGGCTCATTTTCTAACGAGACGTCAAGTCCCGGGGACGAGGAGGAATCGAAAAGTGGCGAGGAAAACTTTCGCGACGGAATTAAATTGAAACGAATTAAAGGTAGCCGTCGTCGGCGCGCAGCTGACGGCCGTTCGTTCGGCTCTCTCGTCGTAATACGTCCCGGGCCGTTCGATGAAATTCGGAACAGCGAGGAGAACCCGCTGGAAAGTCTCATTAATCTCGTGTCGCGGATCTTTCTTATCGTAATTAAAAAAAAAAAGGAAAAAAAAGGAAAGGTACCCGCCGCGATTCTTTCAGTTTGCATATTTTATAATGGAAAATTCTCGCTTCGAGCGAAGCTAATTAAAAAGGGGCCGTCGTGTTGCTGCTCACTCCAGGCTTCCATTGAAATCGGAATCCCTGATCCATTATCTTTTCGCGTGTTTGTCCCTCTTGCCGACTAATGATCATTTCTTTTCTTATTTTCCGTTTTTTTTTCAGGAAAAATATTTTACGCCCGATGCGCGGGAGAGGAGATTAACAACCGCTCGCTGTACTTTGTGAATGTAACGGATGTCCTGCTAAAAATCAATGAAACTGCTGGACGTAGCTGCGACACAGCTTTGAAATCACTTTAGGCAATGAACTTCTGGTAGGATGAATTCAAACCTTTACAGAGAGGGAAATAGGTTGGTCGCGCGAATTAATCCTCGAGCCATCTTTCATTTGAAAAACAATCATTTCTGTTTCGTTGCTGTTGCATTTCTTTATTATGTAACAAAGGATTCCTGATATTACTGTTATTATTATTACTATTGCTATTATTATTATCGTTATTACTATTATTATTATTATTATTATTACTACTGCTATTATTATCATTATTGTCATTTTATTATCTTTTTTAATTATTATTAGTATAATTATTATTACTACTGCTATTATTATCATTATTGTTATTAATACCTTTTATAATCATTATTCTTATTACTATTATTATTATTATTACTACTGCTATTATTATCATTATCGTTATTATTCTCTTTTTTAATTATTGTTATTATTATTACTATTATTATTATTACTACTGCTATTATTATTATTATTACTACTGTTATTATTATCATTATTATCATCATTATAACACTATTCTCTTTTTTAATAGTTATTATCACTATCACGTTCTATACATTTTCTTCATCATCTATTAAGTAACTTCAAACAATAATGCAGTTTTGATGCAGCAGAATCATCAGTTTCGACTTACAATTTTTTAACAATGTAATTCACGAATTAACGTAAGCACCTAATATGCCAGAATATACAGGGTGTCCTATAATCATGTTAACACTCGCAAAGGGATGTCCCGAAAAATGTCTCGTAATCCGAAACTAGAGGATTCCTCAGGTCATTCGAAGAAACTTTTTCCTCAGCGAAAATGCGATCCGCGGCTTCGTTTGCGAGTTATTAACGAAAACCCGAGATCAATGAGAGGCGAGGCTCGCCCGGCGCTCCGCCCTCGCGGCCAACGCCGCGTCGCGCCGGCCGTCTGACGCAGCGGCAGCGGTCGCGAGGGCGGGGCGTCAGCCGCGCGCGATCTCTCATTGGTCACCGTTTTTCATTAATAACTCGTAAACGAAGCCGCGGATCGCATTTTCGCTGAGGAAAAAGTTACTCTGAATGACCTCAGGAATCGCTCCGTTCCCTGTGTTAACGTATTTATGGGACACCCTGTACGCGTACACTCGAAGGTAACGATTCAGCAATGAATCCATAACGAGTTCAGCGGATCCGCGCGGAGACACTGCTGCCGCAGCCACACAAAGCGGACACGCGTAATTTCGTTCGTCCTTTTTATACGCTCGCGAGCATTTTTAAATAATGAAAGACCGCGTCTGGATGCTCTCGAATTGCCCTCGGATTCGCCAAAAAAAGGCGTTTTCGTTAATGAGGTCCGCCTTGGGTTCGCTGTTACGTCCGTCGTTTTAGCGCTGCAAAAATATATAAGTCGTCCCCGGGACACGTTGATCGTTTTATCCATATCAAATACATGTAAATTGCCGTTGGGGGAGGGGGAGAGGGGAGGGGGCAAAGTGACGCGTCACGAACCGAGAAAAGTTAAAGCGGTCCGTCGCGGAAATATAGAGGTAGGTAGGTCGTAATAGGCACGGTCAACGTCGTCGGACGCTGGATTAAAGGATTTACTTCGTTAAAAATGAAACAAAAGTTCCCCTTGATCCGCAGCTAAGGTTTTCACTTCAGCGCGATACGAGCATCAGCGATTACACCCGGGGGCAACCCAGTTTTTTATGGTTATCCCAATGGCGTAGCTGAAAACCGTGACGGAAAGCCGAACACGATCTTTCGCTCGGCTCGTGTTGCACGTGTTACGATACAAACAGATGTTGTACGAACAGAAGGGTTTCACGAAAACGTTGCAAGTCAAGCTTGGAAAGAAATGATTTTTTTGTGATGATTTGAAGAAACTCGGTTCTCGGCGGAAATGATCTCGGCAGCTTCGTTGACGAGCTACACGGTAAATTCTTCCTAATTGACGCATCTTATTTGATTTACTGATATTAGTCATTATTGAAAGTTTCATAAAAAATGTTATTGTAAATATTATATTAAATGAATAATTATAATTATATATATATTATATATATATATAATTATAATTATATATATATATATATATAATATTATTATTTATATAATATATATAATATTATTATTTATATAATATATATAATATTATATAATATTTATATAATATTATTATATACATAATTATAAGACATGCCAAATGTCCTATGAACAGTCCACGAACGGTCTAGAAACGTCCTGCGTTAAAAATCAAGACGTCCCGAATGTCCTATGAACAGCCTACGAACGGCCTAATAACGGCCTAGAAACGTCCCGCGTTAAAAAATCAAGACGTCCACGAGACGTCTTAAAGACGTTCCGAATGTCCTATGAACAGCCTACGAACGGCCTAATAACGGCTTAGAAACGTCCCGCGTTAAAAATCAAGACGTCCACGAGACGTCTTAAAGACGTCCCGAATCGGACGTCCTTCTAACGTCTGAAATAAGACGTCTCAAAGACGTCCCGAATCGGACGTCCTCTTAACGCCTGAAATAAGACGTCTTAAAGACGTCCATTTTAGGGCGTTACGACGTTCAGACCTAAAATGGACATAAAATGGACATTTTCAAGACGTTCAGACCTAGAATGGACATAAACTGGACATTTTCAGGACGTCCAGTGCTTATCGGGAAGCACGTAAAATTCTTTTCTTCATTTTTCCCGAGTACGGTAGGATGGGAATGTCCATTACGCGATATCATAATCATTATCATTACGCGATATTATATGTAAATCGAACAAATAACTCATAAAAGTACCATTGCGACGTAAACAATCGTAAATTCAAAAAAATTAGTGACCCATCGTTTCGACGGATTCCGCGAGTGTCTAGGCGTTGAATGTAAAACGCGATCGAAGTGAAACACCCGGTACATTCGCGATCGAGAGAACGAAATCGGTGACCAGAACGCCACGCGGCTCTCTTCGCGAGCTTCGACGGCTAACAAACGACGGGGAAATCTGAGTATCCGGTCCCCTGATTCGTGGACACCCGGTGTCAAGGATCCGCGGACGAGGGAAAATAGCGCGTCAACGATAGAAGACCGCGTATCAGTTGGCCGCGCGGTTGTTAACCCTTTCGCTACGGGCGGATTCTCCGTCGCGGTAATTCTGCTGAACAGAGCGCTGCGACATCACTGCACGCTACGCGACGGCGATCGTCAGCGGAAGTCGGTACTCCGCGGCGGTCAGCGGAGAACCTAAGCTGTTTGAATTGAATGAATTTTTCGAACGAAAAAATTGTTCTCCAAAGGGTATTTATAAATAAAGGGTATTCCAGGGTATTTTATAACGTCTTAGCATGCGCTCTTTAATTTACAGGATGAGAGGAAATAACATTATGCAATATAGTGCATCTTATGGAAAACCACTATAGTGGTCCGTAGTACCTCAGTGGCACCAAATGGAAAGCCACTATAGTGGTCCGTAGTACCTCAGTGGCACCAAATGGAAAGCCACTATAGTGGTCCGTAGTACCTCAGTGGCACCAAATGGAAAGCCACTATAGTGGTCCGTAGTACCTCAGTGGCACCAAATGGAAAGCCACTATAGTGGTCCGTAGTACCTCAGTGGCACCAAATGGAAAGCCACTATAGTGGTCCGTAGTACCTCAGTGGCACCATATGGAAAGCCACTATAGTGATCCGTAGTACCTCAGTGGCATCATATGGAAAGCCACTATAGTGGTCCGTAGTAGCGAAAGGGTTAATCCCCGTCGGATATGAAGCCGGGCGAAAGGCCGGCCGCCGGAGCCAATGGGAAACGAGAGACGGGCGGATCTCTCGTCTAACGACGCGCGGCCGGTGTACTACCGTGGATGACTCACGCGACTCACCGAACGAGATGAGGCCGCTGTTCAGCATCGACAGCTTGATCTGGTTGGGAATGGAGGCGAGGCTGTGCCCGGTGTTAAGATGGCGCTTCCGCGGCGGCTTCTCCTGCGCCCGCGGCGCGCTACGGCTTCTGTGATGGTGGTGGTGCTTCCGGTGGGAGTGCGAATGAGAACCACCGGCGGTCGAGGTAGCGCCGGTCCGATCCGAGCCGACGCTGCTCAGGCCGACCACGCCGCCGCCGGCGGTCGATTGTGTTCGCATCGACGACATTTTCTGGAAAACGGAAATACGGAAGAACGGTCAGAAGATACGTACGAAGGATGGACGAGGCTCGATCATCGAGAACGAATGAATCTTTCATCCGGTGCATGCGCTTCTTATCGATCTCCCGGCGTTTGCTGTTTCATCCATGAAATGGATGATTCTCGATTATGGGGATCAACGATCCTACTTCGGGCGTTCCCCCCCGTAGCGTTAAAAATCGCTAAACGCTTTTCTGTGGAGTCGTGACGCTCGGCGAGAAAATTATGCGCGCGAAATTTTCGAGGCGATCTCGGGCGACGTGTTTTTGAACGTGAAGGTTTAAACGTTTATTGAACGATTTAATTTATGATTTGTATAATGTTTAGAATGTTTTTGACTGAATTATGTGCTTTATTGTAGAAATATAGAGAAAATCATTAAATTTGATTTATCATTAAATAATATGGATGATGCAGAATCTGACAAAGGGGAATAAATTGGGAATAAATTGGATAAACGTTTTTATTGAATTCTGCAAATAAATTTATCATTTACTATTTTATCATTTACTATTAATGCTGTTAGTAATATTTACTTGTAAATAATAATACTATTAATAATACTTATTTATTAATAATAATACTATTAATAATATTTATTTAGTAATTATTATACTAGTAATTATATTGATTTATTAATAATAATGCTGTTAGTAATATTTACTTGTAAATAATAATACTATTAATAATACTTATTTATTAATAATAATACTATTAATAATATTTATTTATTAATAATAATGCTATTAATTATATTGATTTATTAATAATGATACTATTAATTATATTGATTTATTAATAATAATGCTGTTAATAATATTTACTTATAAATAATAATACTATTAATAATACTTATTTATTAATAATAATACTATTAATAATATTTATTTATTAATAATAATGCTATTAATTATATTGATTTATTAATAATGATACTATTAATTATATTGATTTATTAATAATAATGCTGTTAATAATATTTACTTATAAATAATAATACTATTAATAATACTTATTTATTAATGATTATACTATTAATAATATTCACTTATTAATAATAATACTATTAATAATAATACCGTTAATAATATTTACTTATTAATAATAAAACTATTAATTACATTTACTTATTAATAATAATACTATTAATTATTATACTCTTCCATATAACAAGCATAAAAAAGATTTTATTACAGTGCAGTTTTTAAAGAAAAAATCGAAATTTTCACAATGAGTTTAACACCTCGTTACAGAGCAGCGGTGGGAGGGGTGGGGGGGGCGGATAAATCGCTTTGATTTGATCGAGTTTTTATGGTCGCTAAATGGCCGCGTTAATCAATGAAACGCGTTTACAGTCACTTGCAAAAGTATTCATTTTTCTGATTGCCGGAAAATCATCGATATTGATACTGTCATAATTTCGTAAACGAAAGTATGGTTCACCGACGAACCTGGACTCTCATTTCGAAGTTTGAAGCCTCCACTTTCGCAGTTCATCATTTTCTAGTAACATGTTTCTACCCGCAATATAGCGGGTAGGAAAATGAAGGCTTGTTTTCTCTCGAAAATGACACGAAATGAAACGTTTCCAAAAACATTGAAGAATTTTGTTTCGCAATCAAGTCTGCCGTTGATTTGGAAATTGGAAGCATCCCCGTTGCAATCACGCTGTAAAAATTTATTCACGATTTTTTTCTTATTCGTGTAGAACTATCGTATATTACCTTGTACAGTCCCTCACAAAAAGTATTCGTCCACCTTCTAAAATGCAACGACTTCTTTCAAACTGGTCTAACTGGCTCGAATCTTTTTTCCGAAGTGTTAAATATGGAAAATTATTATTAAATTGAGGAAGAATTAATTTTCACGTGATTCGATTCTGTGTAAAAAAAAATTCTACAGAAACATATTTTCTCGAAATTTTATTCGGAAAATAAAACCAGCTTCTAAAATGCAACGACTTTTTTCAAATTGGTCTAATTGGCTTGAATCATTTTTTTTAAGTGCAAAATATGGAAAATTATTATTAAATGAAGGAAGAATTAATTTTCACGTGATTCGATTCTGTGTAAAAAAGATTCTATAGAAACATATTATTTCGAAATTTTATTCGGAAAATAAAACCACCTTCTAAAATGCAACAACATTTTTCAAACTGGTCTAACTGACCCGAATCTTTTTCTTTAAGTGTTAAATATAGAAAATTATTATTAAATGAAGGAAGAATTAATTTTCACGTGATTCGATTCTATGTAAAAAAAATTTCTATAGAAACATATTTTCTCGAAATTTTATTTGTAAAATTACTAGTATTTGATCTTCAGCCACCCCCCTCCCTTAAGTGCACCATCGCGGCATAAACAATGAGCTTTAAGTTCGGCGCACGGAATAAATGATATCTTTGTAAAATTAGCTCGCGGAAGATGTAACGCGTCATGTATTCGGATAGAAGTTCTCCGGCCAGTGGGGTTCCGCCGAACGTCGCACGAGAAGTTTGAAAATTAAATCCTGGTTGTTCGCCGTCTGAAATTTCCCGAGCCACCTTCGAAACGAACTTCTTGACGGAGCCGAAAGGAAGAACTTCCCATTCTCGGTTTCGAGTTGCGCCTCGACTCGTGCAGGGCGCGCCACGCCCTGCGTCGGCACTTCCGCGCAGACACAACGGATTCAAAATGCAGAGTACATACACCGCCGGTGACTCGCGACGAGTTCTACATAGACTAGACAGAATACGGCGCGCGCCGCGCTGCCCCCCCCACCCCCCACTCCTTAGAACCGTGGCAATCGCAGCAGCCAACACGTCTCGCGCGTCGCGGAGAGTTCGACAACAATTTTCGGGACAATTTTAATGGCTTCGTCCGCGCCGGGCTGACGGTAACAACGAAACTTCAACGAACGTGGAAACGTGCGACGGGTTGTCGCGGCGAATGAAAGCAATAGGCAGCGTAAAAAAAGCGTTCGTGGCGCTCACGGTCGATCGTGAAATCCTTAAATTTCGCGGTCGATTCCCGCAGCTGCTAAAACCGGGCGAGCGCCTCGCTTTGACTGGCTGCGCGGCCTGTGTCCGAGAGCAGCACGCGGACTGGCAGAGAATAGAGACGGCCGGCTCGGCCAGTTGGCAGACGCCGAACGAAAGAGAGGAGAGAACAACGGCTCTGCACGCGTGCGTCCTCGCGGTCGTCGCGGCCGGAAACACGAGACTGTATTAGGCCTGTTGCGTGCAAATTCTTGGATTTTTCGTTGCAACGTTTATTTCGTCGGACGAATATTATCGATCGCGTGCTGGGCGACTAAGGCAGATGTGCCAGTTATCGTGTCCTTAAATTATCCTTTCTTCGACTTCTTTTTTATTTCATTATTAGGCAGTTTATTCGAACAAAAATACCGAAATGAATTTGAGATATTAATCGAAATAAAAGATAAGTTTATGGGTTAGTTAATCCGTAGTGATCATGCATAGGTAATTACGTATATCATTGTGTGATTACTAGTCTGTGGATCTTTATGCAACATTGAAATCTGGTTTGATTGTTGGCATTTTTTAATAAATTGAAATCACAATCGGATGGTGTCGTTAAATTTATCGCCTGCATTCACTATTTTGTATTACACCTTTAGTCACCAATACCTAATAATAAGCAACGCTATCATAAGCAGCGATTAATTAAAATTCTCTATATGGATTGCAACAAAATAATAATATAGTATAATGTAATGTAATGTAACGTAATTGTAATGTAATATAATTGTAATGTAATGTAATTGTAATGTGATGTAATTGTAATGTAATGTAATTGTAATATAATGTAATGTAATTGTAATGTAATTGTAATGTAATTGTAATGTAATTGTAATATGATGTAATATGAGGTAATGTAGTTGTAATGTAATTGTAATGTAATTGTAATGTAATTGTAATGTAATTGTAATGTAATTGTAATGTAATTGTAATGTAATTGTAATGTAATCGTAATGTAATTGTAACGTAATTGTAATGTAATTGTAATGTAATTGTAATGTAATTGTAATGTAATTGTAATGTAATCGTAATGTGATGTAACGTGATGTAATGTAATGTAATTGCAACGTGACGTAATGTAATTGTAACGTGACATAATGTAATTGCAACGTGACATAATGTAATTGTAACGTGATATAATGTAATTGTAATTTAATGTCGGTTGCATCGCAGTGACTCGTTACATCGCATCGAATCAAAACCGATTACATCGCATATGATCGAAGAAAGTTCCATGTCGCAGCTACATCTCCGAATCGCGAATTACGTACGAATTCTCCGTCTGGGTCTTGCATGGGAAGTCTCTAATCGCTTCTCGCTAAACGTGTAATAAGAACTGTCCGCTGAAATTAGTTCCGCGAAGGTGGTAATTTTTTACTAATTATACAGCGTTCCCTTCCTTGCACCGGAAGTGCCTCCTCGTTTCCCCTTTGTCACTCAAAGGGCGGATTAACTGCCGACAATCAGGCAGTAATTGCCAGCTGATGAAAAATTAATTGGTACTTGGTTTACGTTCAATTAGCTGGTGCCGCGATACCAGCTCCTCTTAATAATATTTCTTTGCGCAGTTCGGATTTGTTTATTCGTCTCGTTTTTGTCGCGGAACAATGACGAATTTCGATCAACGGCGTTGCGAAACGCCGGCGGTGCGGACTCTTGTGATAAAAAAAACATACCTCCGAAATCGCAAATAACTTTAAAGCGAACAGTGTGCTTGTTTGATCAAGTTGGGAGAGAGAGAGGGGGGGAGAGCGCGAGAGCAAGAGGGAGAGAGCGCGAGAGTCAGAGAGCGCGAGAGGGAGAGCGCGAGAGTGAGAGAGCGCGGGAGGGAGAGATCGCGAGAAAGAGAGAACGCGAGAGGGAGAGAGCGCGAGAGAGAGCGCGAGAGTGAGAGAGCGCGAGAGAGAGAGAGCGCGAGAGAGATCGCGAGAGAGAGAGCGCGAGAGTGAGAG